AAAAAAAAAAAAAAAAAAAAAAAAAAAAAAAGATCAAAGAGCCTTTGTGCATTTATAAACCCATCAATTTTGCTGGAAGATTTAAGGCTTTAAAGAGTCCAAAACATCTATTTGAAATTTTCTATACAAACAGGTTTTTTAATATTTAAAAAAAACCAGAAAATATTTAGATTTTTCTGAAGTGAGGCATTCCAACAGCTCCAGACAGGAGCGCTGGAGGGGAGGAGGAAATCCAATTCTTAAGTTTGACAGGAACAATTTTTTTTTTGTTTCTTTTAATTGGCAGAAACAAGACTGCACAGCTATTTCTCCCCCTGGCTCTGACAAGGAATAGCTGGGATGAGCAGCACAGGAAACAACAAAACCAAACTTACCCAAGTGCTGCCAGTTTCAGGTTCCTGTCCCAGACCAGCTTGTCCTGCAGGAAAGATCCCCCAAGCCAATGATGTAGCAGGGTTTCACCCCACCATCCTGCCCCTTTCCCTCCACTCACTCCCATTACCTTACATTTTGCTGCCAAAATCCTCCCATGCAGAAGAGAAGCAGGTTCCCCACCTGAAAACAGTGCAGCCACAACAGAGGTTTTGGGAGACCTCAGCCTTTTTCCCAACTTGATTACCTTTATTCCTGGTCAGCCAGAAGAAGAGCTGGGAGGGGCAAACATACGGCAGCACATTTCTTTCTCCTTTTCCATGTAGTCCCTGTAGCAGCTGCAAAGTAGAGCACAGCATGGCATCACAGGCCATGGACTGACCACCCAACTGACAGTGCCACAGCCAGAAAACTTGTATTATTTTTCCTTTAAAAATAAATTAGCCTAATGTAAGAGAGTGCTGATAGCAAAGACACAGCTCCTCCAAGCCCTTCTTCCTGTCACGTTAGGGAAGGAAAGCTGGGAACACTATGCCTCATCCCCAGACGCTGGGTCTCTGCTTTGCTGGTGACTATTAGCCAAGTAGGTCATTTGACTTTTTGCAGCCAGATGCTTTCTACACCAGCTTTGCAAGCATGGGATGATGCAGAGGAACCCCCACCTGTGCCCTGTGGCCTAGTTTCGTGTCTCCTCATTTGTGCTGCTCCTTGTGTGAGCTCCTTCAGCACCTAGCAGGAGGCATCATCCAAGTGCCCTGCTCCAGGATATCTACCACTGAGCCTGGGCAGAGGATGGGTAGGAGACAGCAGGGGTTTGCACCTGGACCAACTGGATGAGAGGGCAGATGCCTCCTCCTCCAGCTTCCCTGCCAGCGTCACATTAGTATGGCAAAAGCTTCCCAGACTGCTCCATTTTAATGACTGCTTCTCCAAGCAGAGCATCCTCTGCACTCTGTGCTCTCACCTCACTGGCAATGAGGTCTCACTGGTAAGGAATCCCTGAGCCAGAGGGTGACTCAGTTTGGGCACTGTCCCAGGGATCAATGGCTGCCCACACCATCAGCTTTCCTGCATCTGCTACCATATAAGGTCAAAAGAGAAGGTTTTTGTTGCAACACACCAGGAACAGCCCAAGCGTGGCATTGGCTAAATGCGCTTGTAGCCCCCTGCCATCAGCACCCCTGGGCCCAGAACCTCAAAGCGTTTTGTTCCGTGAAATCCCAGCACAGCCAGTCTCTTCTGTTAAGTCTCAGAGATGTTGCCACAACTCTGGGCAGATCAAGGGTGCCCACCTGGACTGCAGACAGCACACTCACATGCCCACCACTGCAGGAAATCCAAGAGCCCCTCATTTGGAGGTGCAGATTCACACCAGATGTCGGAACAACCCCATTTTGTTCTGGATTTGATGCAAGGCAAGCCTTCCAATAGAACTGCCAAATCCAGCAGCAGAATTTGCACCAACAAGACCACTACAGCTGATACCAGCCACGCGTTCCACAAAACCCTCACCCCGGATTCTGCCTGGTTTTCTTCAGTGAAGCGAATATTGCCAAGAACCAGGTTCAGCTGTTAAACAAATGCTTTTCAAAGTTTTGGTTTAGACAGCAAAAGGTAGCTGTTGATTAAACACACAGCATTCCTTTGTGCGAAGTATAAATGTACTCAGCGAGGAAGTGAAAAGCAAAGGTTTTGATTCATATTCCATTTCTGAAGCATTTGCCAGATCCCATTACGAGTTTTCTCAAGCAAGGCAGTTTGGCAACGTTACAGGATCTAGACTGAGGTGCGACATAATTAACAACACCCGATAACGTTGTCTTCATCTGTTTTATACTAATTCCTCTTTGTCATATTAAAAGCAAAAAATATACCAATTTCTACTGGCAGTGAAGCAGAAACTTGGAGACAACAGTGGTTTAGCACGTACTCAGCTTACTGACACGCGTGCTCGCTGTACGTGCGGCTCGATTCAGAGCCGACAAGCCCGCCTGCTGCTGTCCTGAAGGCAGAATGCCTTGTTGCTTCCTGGCAGCACAACCTCAGCATTATTAGCAGGATTTCTCTTTTACCTACCAACATATTTACAACGAGTCTAAGGGAACACATGAAGCTTCTAGAGTCAGGACTTCTAGACCTGTACCACGGGTCTTCAACACCACATACTGAGCCTCCGAGAGCAGCCAGCCAGGCAGGTCTGTTTTACAACCACTTGCGCTCACCCAGCAATTCGGTAGCTATGCACCCAGAGGCAGCTCAGGATGAACAGAAGTGGTTTATTTCAAATTTCCAGACCAGCAGTTAATACCGCCTTCAAGTTCTTTGTACTTCAGAAGTAGCAGAACAAGTTTGAAGACTTGGCGTTATCACAGACTATTAAAGATGACATGGAGGTACAGGACACCAATGTGCAAGGGCAGCCCTTTACCACACATCACCTGGTGAAAGCACTTGGCCCATGAGAATGACTTTGCCAGCTGCACCAACTACTCTAACAAGAGATATATTACTGCTGCCTACGAACCTTTTTGCAAAGGCCTAACAGTGAGACACAAAAGCAGAGGGTTTGTATTCAAGGGCTGCTTTGTGATCTCTGAAGCTGGGGACTGCATAGAATCATGGAATCGTTGGGGTTGGAAAAGCCCTTTAAGATCACCAAGCCCAACTGTTCCCCTAACCCTGCCATCCCACCACTAAACCCTGTCCCTCAGCACTGCGTCTGCACGGCTTTTAAATACCCCCAGGGATGGGGACTCGACGCCTGCCCTGGGCAGCCCCTTCCAGTGCCTGACAGCCCTTGTGCTGAAGGGATTTTTCCCAATGCCTAAACCCACCCTGGCACAACTTGAGGCCGTTTCCCCTCATCCCATCATCCGTTCCCTGGGAGCAGAGTCCGACTCCCACCCCAGCTTCCCCCTCCTGTCAGGCAGTTGTAGGGATCGATAAGGTCTTCCCTCAGCCTCCTCTTCTCCAGGCTGAACACTCCCAGGTCCCCCAGCCGCCCCACCGCCTGTGCCTGTGAACAGTGCCAGCAGTACAGCACACACTTTTGGGAACCAGCTGGTGCTTCTGCCAGTTTCAAAGGGAAGAACAGGACAAGGGCAGAGACTGGTGTTACTCATGTTTTGGTGGGGCTAGGCCATGACTAAAGCTGGCAGGATTGTGCTGTACTCAGCCTGCGGGCAAAGGGAAAGTTTGCCTTCAGGATTGCTCACTTATTACCTCCAAGAGAGCAAGAAATTAACTTTTAACAAACATCAGTGTTTGTAGCATTGTACCCTGAAGCACTTGCTGTGCAGAAGAGCTGCTGTAATTAACCAACGCATATTAAAGGGAATGAAAGTCCTACTATTAATCCAGAACGTTATCAGCTCGAGTGCTAGCCTACTGCATTTAATTGGTTTTGAGGCATTTCAGCAGCCCCCCCGTCATCACCCTGACCTACTCACAAGGAGTACAACATGCACACACCCTCCCCAGAGAAACTGTGGGAAAGAGCTGGTGTTCTCAGCTTCCCACCCATCACCTGTAACCGTGGTGTCTGCAAATGTTTGAATCAGCTGTCTACATGCTAAGAGAAACCTGTATTTTCCCCAGTCACTTACTAACCCAGTAATTTTGCATTTTGGTTTTTTTTTTTTTTTAAACATTTAAATATTTTTGAGTGGGTGTTCCAACCTGTCCAAGCACTCTCTTCCACAGGGACAGAAAGGAGTTCCCTCACCTTGCCAACTTTTTCAGCTCGTTGTTAATATCGTGGTTAAACGGCTGCATATGCTGAGCTCTGACCAGGAAATCCCGTGCTTTTTCGTATTCTGTCATGCAGAGACAAGCCTGCCATTGAAAGAAGACAGATGCATCGCAAGATAAATACAGACTCACTGCCATCCTTCAGGACTGAAACACGCGCAGCCACAAATATTTCTGAGACAGATCCAGGTAGCTAAGGAATCCCCCATGAAAAGATCCATGTGACAGATTTACAGAGAGCCAGATTTTCCAAAAGGTCAAATGCAGACAAACCACCTCGACTTCTGCAGCAGCTGAGGAGGCCTGGCCCAGAATTTCGTGGTTCTCCTCGGTTGATTCAAGGCTCTGTCCGCAGCCAGTCAGACTGGGGTAATCCTTGATGTGGCTACCGGAGGGATTTAGTTTTGCCCACCTGGCCACACCTGAACAGCGCTTTGGCGTTTCTTTGGTCAATCTCCAAGGCCTTCTCCCCGTATGCCAAAGCTTGTGCAGGACGTTCCAGTTTCAGGTAAGTGAGAGAGAGATTCAGGAGCACCAGCAACTTGGAAGCATTGATCTGACGCTGCTCCACCTCACTGGAAGGGCTGCGACCAAGGATGGAGAATGCCTGAGCGGACAGGAAAAAAGAACTAGTGCACAACAAATCCATTACGGAAAGTGAGAAATCCATCTCAGCAGTCAGCTACACCCATGCTTCTATTTATCAGGGTCAGCTAAAAATAGTAATAATCAAAACTTAAATATACGGCATGGCATTATCAACATGACTAGCCAGCTCAGCCATAAGACTACAGGGTTAGGAACCTATCAAGGAACTTGAAAGCAGCAGAATAAAAATATTACACCCAGAATTTAAGGCCAAAGTCAGAAAAGGAATCCTACAGGGAGAAAGGCAATTTAAATTATTTTTGCTACAAAGCAATACCAAGAAAAAGCAACTCTAAATGCAGGGAGGAAAAAACTCACAAAGCCTTACTACCTCTGAAACAAAGGCAGATGGGTTCCAGTTTGGGAACAACTCAGTATTTTCCTGGCCAGAGAGGCTGTAGAGTCTCCATCCTTGAAGAGGTTCAAAACCTGAGTGGACACAGCCCACTGTGGCTGACCTGCCTTCAGCGGGCAGTCAGACTGGGCAACCTCCAAAGGTTCCTACCAACCTCAAGTACTGTGCGATTCCCAACTGGAAGACTAAAAGTAGAATGCCCAGGAGGCCAGTGGTATCTCTGGTTCCAGACCGCGGGGATTCTAGGCTGCTTCTCAAAGTATTAACCAGCATACTACTGCTACACAAGGCCATGCTGTACCATAAAATCTCCCAGCAGAAGCTGACCTGAAAAGCTCCAGTTCAGCCGTCAGCCACGCAAACTGCTCAGGGCTTGCACAGCTGGCGAGATGTACTCTTCAGTCTCGGCTAGAGGCCACAGGGAGCAAGCCTGAAGGAAAAGGGTTCTGCCTGTTTCTGCCAACCTTTCTCCTTCGTTTACTGCTACTCTCACACAAAAGCAGGTGTCTAAGATCTGTTCTTAAATAACAAACCATGCCTGGAAAATATAACGAAGTTATTTGATCTCTAAATTGTTATGGTGAGCTAGCACTTAATAATCACTGCTTTCACAGCTTTTCACAATGGAAAACACATTTTTTCTGGTGTCATACCCTTTTGTATCTGTCTTTGGCACCCTCAAAGTGCCGCTTACGGTAGAGGTAGTTGCCAAATTCTCTCTCTGTGTCTGCCACTTTCAACACCTTTTGTAGTGGAAATGTATCCTGCTGCTCCTGTATGAAGAAATACCTGGATTTCAGCTCAAGCAAAAGAAAACAAGTAGAGAGCTCAGACAGGACAGTCCTGCACAGTCCCCTTCTATTCACAGCGCAGGAGCCAGGCCCTTGCCAAGGCCCCCCGCAGTGTCCAGCCAGGCCACCACCACGAGGCACTTCCCTGTGCTGGGCTGAAACATGCCACTCTTTGCTGATAACTCCTGGTGAAGAGTGCTACCAATCAGGTCAGGAAGCTCACCAGGACCAAAGAGACTCCAGGGCGGGGAAAAAAAACCAGGAATTTGTTCTTAAATCCTGCCTAACTCTCTCACCTGCTTAGCACAGAGCAGACAGTTAACGCAAATGCTATTGCTGGCACCAAAGGGGGAGCTGACTGAAAGGCCCCATTGCTCTAATGGCTTAGCATCGCCCGGGGTGGCTGCTTCACACCAGCTCTGGGACCAGCCTGACACCCACACAAGACATCCACCCAGCAAAACAACAACAAAAAAACCCCAACAATAATTTAAAAAGATAAAAATCAAGGGACAGGTGTTCTCCTGGGTTTCCCAGTTTGAACCAGTTCACAGAGAGAGGTCAGTTAGCCAGGAAGGGTGGGCAACAGGCAGGAAGGGGCGTAAGCTCTCTTGTAATAAGCGTGGTTTGCTCACAGGGCCATGTGTGGACAGAGCAGCCTGTGCAGCAGCAGGAGGGAATGAGGAGGGCCTCCCCCACCAGCGCTGCTGCCTGTGCCCCACTCGCTGACCCACAACCACAGCCCAAAGCCCTTCACATGAAAAGGGGGAATTAACAATAACACCGTAACTCACCAGTGAGGGAAGTGAACAGTGAAGGAGCACTTGGGAGAGCAGCCAAGAAGCAGAGACAAAGGGTGGGGGCTGGTGGGGGGGGCACTTGAATGCTGCAGACTGAACGGGATTTTTACAGACAGCTCATTACTGTTCCTTCCAAGAAATTCCTGGAAGCTGGTGCCCTCTAGTGAAGCCATGAGGTTTCTTATAAAGCTAAAAATAACTGGAAGTCATTCCACTGACTCCAGCACAGGGGAGCAAACAAAGGCAGCACCCAGCTTCTCCCGCCACACAGGAATGCAAACAGAGCAAGGCACGCAGGAACAGCGTTAGAGGGCACACATCTGCATCAGAGAGGAGCTAGCAGCCTGGGGTGTGGGTAACTGCACTGGCAATTAAACTAAACATATGTAATACACCAGCAACAGCGACTAGAAGGAAAGACAACAAAGGTTTAGCCTCCAGATTTAGGTCCTAAAGCTTATTAAGGCAACTCACAGCAGTCAACTCGAAGAATGTGTCAGATTCATCTGAGTCTAGGAAGTCCAGCACCTCCACTTCGAACATGACTGTGGCATTTGGGGGAACGAGCGGAGGACAGCCCTGCCGCCCATAGGCATACTCTGGCGTGAAGACAAATCTTGCCACCTCTCCCTTCTTCATCGTCAGCAGGCCAATTTCCAGGCCCCCCAGGGTAATGTCTGTCGCAACACAAAACAGAATCATGAGAATCGCAAACCTGGAAACCCCCTCAGGCACCAAACAATTTCTCTTAAAGCCTGGAGGAAAAAATCCTTGGTAGCACATAGTTCAGCAACTACAATGGTCAGCTGGCCCCCATTACAGCTCACCAAGGCTGTGGGACCAAGCACACAGTGAACAGCACCATCTCCTCTCAAGTGATTTAAACCCACCCAGACAAGCAGCTGCATCAGGGCAGGCAGCAAGCACCCCCGCTGCCACAAACAGTCGGGCACCGCTGCTCACTCCCCCAGTCAAGAGGGGCAGAGGGTGATGGGTTCCAGCCTGACCATCACCTGAGTGAAGCAGGAGGCTTTTGGATTCCATTAACAAGTCTTAAAGGTTTCAAATAACCTAAAGATAGTAAACACCCCTTAAATGGACATGTCTTAATGGGCTGTCTTTATAACCCCAAGTCCCAGGACAAACTTTTCGGCTCAAACCCACCTTTTCCAAGTTTCATCAGCCCAGGAGACTTGCTGTAGCAGTTTGTGCAGAAGGGCTCATCCCGGTGTTCCAGGTACCCAGAGTACTTCACTGTGTAGCCCAAAGCGAGGAGAAAAGCAAGAGTTTGGTTTCATATCCAGTAACAGTGCCATCGGAAGCACACCCAGAGTTGGACGTGCAACACCACCCTTTTATCCTGCTTTTCTTCCTTCCTCCTGCTGTAGAACAGCAGATGCAGCACAAACTACCTTGCTTTTATATCAAAAAACTGGTCGCAGTCAAATGGTGTTGACTGTGTCTTAACACTACCACCAGATAAAGCAGATTAATGCCTTTCTAATCGAGAGATGTGATTTTGTGTTCCTAAGAATTGGAATGGGAACTTCAGCTGTAGAAATTAAAACGCCCCAATTATCTGCAGAGACAGGGAATAAAGCCTTTCCCAATGAAAGCTGGAGCCCTAGGAAGAGAAACAAAGGGGGAAATGTACGCCTCCAAGCTCAGCCACTCCCCAGGGAGCTGTAGGGGTAACTCCAGTTCTCACTCATGTTAGAAAACCCACTGTAACGGGCTTCCCTTGACACGGCACCAGGCCCTTGCACTTCAGGAGCCACTTTCAGCTTCAGACTTCTTCCCTGCACTGTGAACACAGGTGGGACCTGGAAATCTCACTTTTCTCAAGGTCAGGATGCCCTTTCATTTAATCTGTCAGCCACCAGAAGTTAAACAGAGTATCCCCAGTGCTAAAATACTGATAAGGGAGAGCAGTCTCTGAAACAGAAAGACATGCTGCTGTATAACATAAGCACTTTTAAGTTCTTGTCCTGATCTCATGCTGAAGCCCAAAGCACTGGGATTTGCCAGTGGTGAGCACCTCAAGGTTAGAGGCTGGGGGTATATTTGACAACAGCTTCTGCCCTCTCTGTTTCCCTCAGCGCACATTTCAGGCCCAGTCACGCAAACCAAAGCAAGGACCTTGCACTGAGATGTAAATGACGTAGAGGAGCACAAGACCCCGACTTTGGTCTACGCTTCTGAGGATTTCAGGTTTTCTCAGTCCTGCCAACTACAGATTAAATTTAACAATGGCCATTTGTAAAGAGAGAGGCTCAGGAGACGGTCAGCAGCACCTGCAGGTCGCACCCTCAAAGCCGGGCAGAGCGCCACCAGGCGCCAGGGAAGCCACGCTGTGAGCTCGTGGGCACAGGCGGCCTGGCTACCGGCACGGAGCAGAGGAGATGGGGCCCTGATGAAGGTGCAAAGGAGGGTCCGGGCCCTGTGACGGGG